TGATTTCTTATCTTTTCGGTAGGATTTCACGTATATAGTAATTTCCAATAAATGGTAGTGTTGTCACCCAACAGTACTAATTCTAGTCAGATGTAAGTTATTTATGAATTTGTGTGTGAGTGCGTTTGTTGCGGGTAATTAAGTTTTCTAGATACTAGCAGCTATCATAATACCTGTCAGTTAGCTGCACTGTGGAGCGATATCAGAGAAGATTTTAATGCCAATAGGAAGAAGGTTGCAAACCTAAGTAAATAAATAATTAGGTTAATTGTTTCGTAATGCAAATAGTTTGAAAATAATAAAGTGTAAGAAAAAAGAGGAAACAGAGATGATAATAAACGAAATGGAAATTACAATGACAGTAGATAAGTTATAAAGCACGTTTCAAGCTCAGCTAGTCCAAGCGAGAGACGATCATCTTCGTGTTAGTATGTGTTTTTCAAGTCATTTCTTGAGGCTCACCGCTTAGATAGCTGTGTTCACTTCGGCTGGTAGAGCATTTCAAGTTGGTGCAAATGTGATGAGTAAAAGTAAGAACATACCTGGGTTTTTGCTCTTTGATGTGCAGTTTTTGAGGGTTACTTCGAGAGGCACGTTAGTGATGTTCTTGTAAAATGCTCGTGTTACGGTGATTCGATTTACTCATTACTTTTCATGGAATCGTCAAATCACCTTACGTTTCGGTAGCTATCCCATCCCCCACATACACGACATCACGGTATCTCTTAAGGACATGACTATCTATTCTAAGATTGATCTGGTACGAGCATATCATCAGATCCCAGTCGCTCTTGGGGATATCGAGAAAACTGCTATCACGACTCCTTTTAGTCTTTTTGAATTCCTACGAATGCCATTTGGATTACGGAATGCTGCTCAAACTTTCCAAAGGTTTATCGATAGAATAGTACGAGACTTCGATTTTGTTCACGTCTATATTGATGATCTGCTAATCGCGTCATCAAATGTAGATAAACATTATCAACATCTTATGCTCTTATTCCAACGCCTTTCGGTTAATGGAATAGTAGTTAATCCAGACAAGTGTGAACTGGGCGAAGCACAAATAAGGTTCTTGGGTCACTTCTTTAAGCATGAGGTTATTCTACCTTATGAAGATAAAGTACAACAATGGAGTACACTGTACCGTCCTCACTCAGGGAACTAAAGGCTTTTCGCGGTTTGGTAAACTTCTACCGACGTTTCATTCCTCACGCGGCAGGGCAGTTACGATCACTAACCCACTTACTCCGTGGTAATCCACACACACTAGGAGTAAACGATGCCACGATTACTGCATTTTCTGAGATTAAAAAGGCTTTAGTTCATGCCACGCTCCTGGTCCATCCTGACCCATCAGCCACGCTTAGCCTAGCGGTTGACGAATCAGATTTCGCTATAGGAGCCGTTATGCAACAAAACATCCCTGCGAGTTGGCAACCTCTCGAATTTTTCTCACGACGCCCTACTCCAACTGAGATGAGATATAGCGCTTTTGGTCGCGAACTGCTAGCAGCATACTGTGCCATCAAACATTTCCGGCACTCAGCAGAAGGTAGTAATTTTTTCCTTTTCATCGATCACATGCTTCTAACGTATGTTTTGCATACCAAGTCTGACCGCTACTCACCACGAGATTCCAGTCATTTGGATTATATATCTCAGTTCACGACAGACCTTCGTCATATTACAGGCGAGTCGAACTACGTTGTTGATGCTCTCTCATGTATTCAAGTGAATGCAGTTACTTTACCGGTGCTCGATCTTCCTGCTATGGCCGCTGTCCAAGCAAATGATTCCTCTTGTACAGAAGCACAACAATCGACATCCCTTCAGTGCCAGGAAGTACCACTAACTACCACCTCAGGTACTATCCTGTGTGACAATTCTACTGGTTTACCTCGACCCATTGTACCTTCTGCTCATCGTCGTCTCGTCTTCGACACCCTTCATGGTTTGTCTCATCCAGGTATCGCAGCCACTTTACGTCTCACCCTTGCACGATACGTCTGCCCGTCCATGAATAAAGATATCCGTTTGTGGGTAAAGCAATGCTTACAATGTCAACGATCAAAAGTGCACAGGCACGTAGCAGCCTCCATCGGCACATTTGCTATGCCTGATACTATCTTCGATCATATTCATATTGACATTGTAGGACCATTGATACCATCGTATGGGTACGTTCACATACTCGGGTGCATAGATCGTTTCACAAGATGGCCTCGAAGCTATTACCATTACTTTCATTACGGCGGAAACAGTTGCTTACCGCTTCGTAGAACGATGAATGGCGCATTAGTGTTGTCCCTCGACTGTTACAACTGACCTAGGACAAAAGTTGGAGTCCGAATTATCCTCCTCGCTAACCCGGCTGCTTGGTACGGAGCACATACGCACTACCGCCTACTATTCAGTTTCAAATGGTTTAGTTGAACCGGTTTATCGTCAGTTTAAAATCGCCCTTCGGACACACGAAAACAACAATAGGTACGAAACCTTACCGCTCGTCCTTCTAGGCATCAGAACGAGTTTAAAGGTAGATATTTAATGTTCCGCCGCTGAATCGGTATATGGCACGACATTGCGTCTGCCTGGGGAATTTATCACACCACGGAGCAGCGATAGCTTCAATAAATCAGACTAGTCCAACGATTGTCTGAATTTATGCGAGCACTACCTTCGATGTCAACTCGAGTACAACATCGACAGGTCGCTCTCCCTCGAGAGTTGTCGACCTGTTCGCATGTTTTCATTCAAGTCGATTCGGTACGCAAACCTCTGCAACAACCTTACGAAGGACCTTTCCATGTGATTTCTCGTCATGAAAGTACCTTCAAGGTTGCTCGACATGGCCGCGTCGAGGTAGTCAGCATTGATCGTCCCAAGCCAACACATGTCAATGACAGTGCCCTACTCGCTAATCTGAGACCCGACGCCAGACCTCTCGAACCTAATAGCGGGATCCATAAAGCCACTTCGGGTCCCACGCTAGACAAATCAGAGACCTCATTCTGACGTCCCAGTCAACAGCACGCGTCATCTGCACTATCTACGGATGACACTCCGGTCTCACGTCCAGATCAGCAGACCACGCCGCCCTTGACTTCGGATGAGATTGCCGGCTCACGAGGTATGCAAGAGACTACCGTCTCGCGTTCCGGTCGCCTCGTACGCCTACTTGTATGTTTTCTCGAATAACCGCCCACGCAACAATGGAAACCTAATAGTACCCTATCCTCGTATTACATCTATACTGCACCTTTCTCTTTTTCTTTCATTTTGTATCCTGAGCCCATGTCTATCACCGTCACCCTGCTGAGGTTAGGTTCCTCACTTCGATCATGAAGTTTAACGGCCCCATTTATTTATGGACTAGCTATTTAGACTCGTCATTCAGTTCCTTCCGAATATTCGTTGTGTGGGGATGGTGATTGTTATCAAAATTTTGGAGGATCTACCAAGTACCCGATGAGTAATCATACCAGAAAGTGAGTGAGAGAGAGATAGAGAATGAATAGCTACATGTATGCTTTTTACTTACGGCCTGAATGTATGCTTGAATCATGTTATTCACTGTCGTCGCCCTTACAATTGCTTTCCTTTATGGAGACCATATGTAACAGGTACGACCATAAGCTGTTAGATGATTAGACTGTTTCTAAGTAAATCGAATGATTACGTTCGAATTTAATTTCACGTTTTCGGCAGCTATATGAGTTACCTTTTACAATACAGGTTTTTCCCTGATAATGATATGGTATGTAACACTGATGTTCACACATAGTAATTCGGTTAATAATAAACTAAACTTGGGGTAGTTATTCGGAAGCAATTTGAAATAAGGGTCAATAGTACTTGTGATTGGATTTGGGAATAATAAGAAATTAAAAAACGAAGTTCCACAACTAGATAGTTGAGTTTAATCTCAGACTGCTTGGGTAGGCGTGTAGTTTATGCTGTTCTATTTGGTTTATACTAGTGATCGGCATTTGAACATCTGCAACAGCAGCAGTCTGTGGGATGTGTTCGAGTTTATCCACGTTAAGAAGAACTCCACTTCCACTAGTCGCTTGCTGACTAATTATCAAGTCTTAATAATGAACAATCGATGTCTCAACAATGATGCTAACTTAGATATTCAGTCTTTACCACCAACCTAAGGCTGTAAAATAGAGGTCTGTTGCTACTGTAACCGTATATTGACGAGGAATAACCTGAGAAATTTGATGTGCCAAAAGTTTGAGAATGAGAAAACTGAAAAATTGCCTGAAATTCCTAGAAAACATTAGTGTGAAGTCAAAGGCTGGAATTAATCTCATTTGTTTTTCGCAGTCTGGAAACAGATCTCTAGAGCGATGAGCGTGTTCGAGTAGTTCTGGATCGTCTGACGACATAAGGGGAGGGAAAGATAGCAATCTGAAACTTCCTATAATTTATTGTTTGGAATAAAAAAAATATTTTGAAACTATCGGATAAGCTAATTTGCTGCTGTTAGACTTACGTAGACCCGCTGTATGCTGCTATGCGTCCAGCAATCGCATTGAACATTAGACATGTATAACTAACGATAAGAAAGGGTTCTGTTAGCATAGTATTCTAATACTTAAAGGAAGCTCTACATACGCTATGAAATGTCACGGATACCCAGAGCTTGACGACGCCCTTGTTCGTAACACCTTTTTAAGAAGGCTAGTTATGATTCTCCACAGTACAGCTACCTGATCTCTGGCCTGGTAACGTGGTAGCTGTCGGTATGCAGAAGCTCCATTTTCCTGAAGCAGACGCACTAACTCAAATCACGGGACATACGAAGTCATAAATAACTGCCAAGTAACTAGAATTAGTGCATTTGAGTGGCTAGACTTCTATCCATCGAACATAGCCTATTAGCTGGAACCGTACTGAAAGGAAAAATAGTGGAACATAACAAATCAAAAGGTTCATAATAGCTCGTGAAACAGGTATTAGATATTGGGAGTTACATATCGTTTGAAGTCATTCAATGTCTCCGTAAAGAAATCACGGCGGTTATTTTGTTACTAGTTCCCCTTTGTCTTAGCGATGAAGTTTCAATACAAAGAAGACCGTCCGTTTGAAAAGCGTCTAGAAGAAGGGCAAAATATACGTCGAAAGTACCCTGCCAGCGTTCCGGTAAGTTGGGTTTACAGTTAGTATTCTTGATAACCAATCTTACTTAGACTTCTTCAAAGTGACCTTAGAATGATTCAAAACATTGTCACCTCGTTTCGCAACACTGACTGAAATACAATCCTTTCACTTATTTGAAAGCAAGACCTCGAAGTATTATGTTAACGGCTCGGTTCGTAGCGAGACCACTAACCCGAAAAATCAGTTCTAAATCTAATATATCATAGTCGTTTATAAATTACTAGCAAACGCAGACATCAGTGTCATACGTGCTATAAGGAGGTCTAATTAGTGGGTCAACTACCATTGTGTTTGGCTCTCACTATTAAGATCAATTTCTATTTATTTAGTCCTTTGTTGACAGTGGAAAGGTAGAAGTTTCAACCTATTTCACTGATTCATTATTTCCCCAAATATCTTGTGTAAACTACGGCTTTCTCTTGAGTCGACGGATGTGACAAATAACGTGTGATTAAGAGATCCATTCGTTGGCTATTTGGTGGGAGAGTCGGTGGTCAGCCAACAAGTGATTTGTTTCTATTGTCCAGTCTTTTGAGGCTACTTGAGTGTACCATTTCTCGTATATTTACCCTCCAAACTTTTAATTTGGCCTGGGCTGATGGATAGTTGTTGATAACAGTGTAGAAATCAAGGACTATATGGCCACATGTACCTATAGGGTATCATATCATCGACATTTGAGACGTCATTTTCATAATGGGTCAATATGAGATCTAGTATTAACGATTCGTAACCCGTATCGTGCCTGGTTGCTTCTCTTACCTGTTGCACAGGTAATAACCGTGTCAGGTAGTTTCTGTTCGAAAGAATTTCCGGACAATTCAGTCCTTAGATTTTCCAACCTACAAAAGGTGCATGAAAGTCATCCAAAACTGAACGTTGATCACCTAGAGATCAAGTGCTCAAACACTTACAGGAAACCTTAACTGTGCTCGTTTGGCTGAAACTGTCGATTAACACTTAATCTTTAACTCCTGCTTATATAAACTGTCAGAGGGGTTGTTGTGTATGTCTAAAATTGAAGTTGCGTTTTGTCAGCAGATCATACATTTCTCAACTATGCTGATCAAAATGACACACATTGCGTATTTTATTCCTTTTAGAAGTAACTTTCAGTCCTGCATTGGCGCATCCAAATTACTTTAGTCCACACAACTATTGTTCTCATGCTGGGAAAATGTTCTATTTAACTCTAAATTCTAATCCTTAGCAGCAAATCTAAGGGTGTATGGAGGGCTCCCCTACATTTTTCACTAGTTTTCTTCAGTTGCATCAAACTAGTCTAGTTTTATTGTTTGGTTTCCCTTAGTTGTGCTAGTTTCAGTGTTCTGCTTCACAAGGCAGTCTGTTTTCATTCATTTCAGATTGCAAGATTTTCCCATGGTCGAAATTGACGGTACTCATATCGCAGACTTCTTTCTTCTGGAATCCTAGTCTTAAGATTATTTCGGAAGTAGTATTCCTCGACCTCATCTGTCCTTTTCAGAGTTCCGTCTGGATTTTTGTGGTTGACTTTCATCTTCTTGGTCGTTGACTGTGCACATTAGGATTGCCGGTATTTGGCTCTTGCCACATTGTTCGTAATTGGCTGACTGGTTGTGTCAGATACAGATGATATCGGAATGTATGGTTCTAGATATATAAAGGAAATAAACTAGTTTGTAGTGAAAGCTTCCACAGCCCTTCTGTCGCTGCTCGGGGATGATTATATTAAGGTATCTTGTAGATGACAGGCATGATTGTCAATACTATATGCATAAAACATAAATGAAGAAAAGTCGATACCTAAAACTAGGGTCCGCCGCAAATTTCCTGTGTGGGGTGGGTAAGACCTGACACATCTCTGTGCTAATGTGGTATGGCAACATGAACTGACGTACTTACGTACGAAGTTCTGCGTTGTATCTGTCTGTCCGTCTGAATATTTCGGAGTAACCACGGCAGTCTTCTGACCTAAACCTTGGGGGTGTTATTCAGGCGGTAGACGACAGCTCTAGCAGGATATGATTATTAAAAATGTGAAGTCTGACAAACGTCATATGCAGTGTACAAAAATAATATGGTTTGCCTATTCGAGTAATATCTTTTCGATATTAATGAGTATTTTTGTCGTATGTGCAAATCTCCGTGTTTTAAACAATTATAGGTTATTGTTGAAAAATCACCCCGTGCACGTGTTGGTAATCTAGATAAAAACAAATATTTAGTTCCCTCGGACCTAACTGTGGGACAGTTCTACTTCCTTATTCGAAAAAGAATTCAACTAAACCCTGAAGAAGCCTTATTTTTCTTTGTTGACGATATCATTCCTCCAACCAGTGCTACTATGGGTGCTCTCTATGAGGTAAGTAGTGTTAGCTGCCACTTAATGTTTATTTATCCAATAGACGGTGGCTTAATGGTTGGGGTGTTTGACTCTTGGTCATCCAATTCCAAGTTCATGCTCCAACTATATGAGTTCGGACAACCGGGTAGTGCCATCGTTTCGCGTACTTTGATTGTGGCTCATACCTAAGGACTGGATGTCACGAATGTTTTCGTAGTGTTACTAGTCAAATAATTCAACTTCAGTCTGTATCGATTGTTTTCCTGTGGGAATGTGGTTTTATTTCTTCTGCACAATTTTAAAATATCAGTGATATCTAGTTTAACAGATGCTCATACATCAGCTTAGTGTCAGAGGCTAGATTATTCGAAAACATAGAAATCTGTGGAATGAATTTAAGAAAGAAAAAATAAGGTCATGAAAAATTCTGGAGCTTAGAATTTGAAGGAAGACAAGGAATGGATGTACCTGCTTCATCATTCAAAGACTCTAGCCACCGGTTACGATTTTCACACGAACCCCAACTTCGTAGTTTACATCTATTAACATGGCCTAGTTCAATTGGCAATGGCTTCGTAGACTGGTGCCATGTTTTAGTTTGGCTGCTCCTAGCTTGCTTCCAGACCACTACACAAAGCGGCATTGCCCGTCAAGGTAATCAAAAGTTGGACATATGTAACATATGTCCTGCCGTCCTTACCTAATACTTTATTCCTAGTCCCAACCAAGTACAGGCTTGTTATGCTATCCATAATAGGCGAAGTGTGGCTTGAACGTGTCTAGTTAAAAACCGAAAGATCTAACCACTCATCTACCAAGTTCTGTCTCTAAATTGGCGGCAAAATGTTTTTTTTTTATTGCAATGGAATACTACATAGGCTTTGCACCTATTGAATTGAATACTTAGTATTTTCGTCATACTCTTTTTAATTTTTGACTCATTTTAGGAACATCATGATCGTGATCTTTTCCTTTACATCGCATACAGTGATGAAAGTATATATGGAGCGATACAAGAATGCATATCGTCGTGAAAATTCTGTATTGGTCATGGTCCTGTTTTCAAAAGTCTATTGAGTCCTTGTATTTTTTTTCTCACGTTCTAACCGAAATATCTATTGTTACCATGCCATGCATACACAACACATAATAAGTCATTTCTGCTAATTTTCAATTGTTTTTTTCTTTAAAACTTTATTTCAGTGTTTCAAGTATTCATCTAATCATATTAATAATCATTGGTTTATCACTATTTCTTTCTCATTGTTAAGAGTTATTAAATGAGGTTTGCATTTTTTTGTGAAACAACTATGACATTCATTATTATCATTTTCAGTAAGTTCGCTGAAGAGGAAATACATTTTGTAAAAGCATAAAGATTAGTTCTTTTTTTTGGCTTGCTTGATTTATGTATTCACAAAGTTTTCGGATAATCAAGTTTTATCCATGTAGTGTTACATAGCGTTACTATGACTTACTAACCAGTAGAGTTTGTTTGCGGATCAGAATTTCCTAGATTGTGCTGGTCTAGTTATTATTTAATATTACGTTTAAGAGTTAATTAAATTCTGAAACTGTAGCGATTATCAATTTGTCTTGGTTTTAGTGTAGGATCATAAGACTTTATCCTGATATGCAAGTAATGTGAGAAGATTGGAAGTATTATTAATCAACAGGGGCATTAGAGTATCTATTTCATCTGAGTGACCGGTGATGTTAGTAAGTCATTTGATTAGTTAGAGAACTCCTGGAATCTTCAGAGATACGGTATGAATATTAGGTGGTCATTTATTTTACTGTAGGATAATAAATGACTTGGAGTTAGATGGACGTAATTTTGTCTTTGAAAGATAGATTTACTGAGGTAATCGATTTGTTGTTTGTTTAAATACGCAGTATAGACTTGAGAGGGGTAAACATTTACAAAATGATGCTGTTCTTTCTTTTGTACAGTAAACAGTCATTTCTATGATTCCGTTTTAAGTTTTTTTCACTCGCTCCATTCTTGTTTAACTTTGTCGTTGACGTGCTTTTGGATACGGTATTTTCATCATATGACTTTTCAGGAGGTGAACTTTTACAAGGAGATTCGCTTGTTGACTTACAATATGCTGACAGCATAGTTCTACTTGGTGAAGACGCTAACAAAATGCAAAGTCTTCTGACTAGCCTGAGCGACAATGCAAGCATGTTCAGGATGCAGTTCTCACCCTCGAAATGCAAAATGTTGCTTCAAGATTGAGTTGCGTCGGCACCTAAACTAGTGATAGGGAGTGAAGTAGTCGAGCGTGTAGGCCGCTTCACTTGGGAGTCTCATCAGTGCTCATGGCTTGGTGACTGACGAAATCTCAGCACGGATACAGAAAGCTTGGTTGGCTCTTGCCAACCTGCGTCACTTACGGCGTCGGCGAAATATCCGTTTGCTAACAAAAGGACAGGTTTACTCTGCGGTAATTTGCTCCGTCCTACTATATGGATACGAAACATGGCCGGTAAGAGTAAAAGATATTCGTGGGTTATTAATGTTCGATCATAGATGTATTCGAAGCATTTGTCGTGTATCCTGAGACAACCGAGTAAGCAGTCCTATCGTTAGGAAACGAGTATTAGGTAAGGATGGCAGATCAATAGATGGAGTATTGAAACTTCATCAGTTGAGGTAGTTGGGACATGTTTTGCGTATATCTAACCACCGACTGCCTCGATGAGGTATGTTTTGTGGTGCATCCACTGTTTGTGTTCTCTTAAATTCCAATCCGGATTCCTCACCACATTTATCTTTTTTTAAATTTATTTCACTGAATTGTACTTCTTGAATAATAGCTTCGATCCCTAATCTTTTAAATTACCGCTTATACTTAGACTACCTTTACTACTATGGAATTTGGATTGACAGTTCTATATATGTGTGCTAATGTGGTATGGCAACTAGCACTGATGTATGTATTACCAAGTTCTGCGTTGTAACTGACTGAAAGTCTTTTACTATAGTGCGAAACATTTGATATATCTTGTTCTTTTTCATCTTGTTTATATTACAGCCTTATAAAGATTGACTTGTATCCTCCCACGAGGTATTCTCTATTGGAGGTAGTAAGATTTTTTAATGTTTCAAGTTAGTTGTTTATCTCCTAGTACAACGCCTCTCAAAGGAAAACCATGGTTTCATGCTGTAGCCAGACTGTTATCTGGTTAAATAGTTTGTATTCCTTATTTCATCTGTCTGACTGAATGAATCATCAACAGCAACGTAGAACTTCGTACGTAAGTACATCAGTTCAAGTTGCCATACCACATCAACACAGAGATATAATTGTCAATTTAAATCCCATAGTAGTAGAAGTTGTGAAAGTATTAGCAGTGATCGGAGAGATTAGGGTTCGAAGATATTATTCAAGAAGTAGAATCTAGTAAAATAAACCTAAAGAGATAAAGGTGACGAGGAATTCGGAAGGTTAGGATTTGACAGAACACAACGAATGAATGCACCTGCGCAATTGCAAACGGTTTTGAGCCATGTTATTCAGGGTCTCTAACCATCGATTACCAACGTCTCGCGGACGCCAACTAGGTAGTCGACACCTACCGACATGACTCAGTCCAGTTGTCACTGACTTCATGGATTTTCGCCATATTTTGGTCTGGCCGTCCCTAGCTTTCGTCCAACCTATTCCTACGTCGCAAAACATAGCTCGACGAGGCAGTCGGTGGTCGCGCATACGCAGCACATGTCCCAACCACCTCAAGTGATGAAGTTTCACTACTTTATCTATTGACCTGCCACTCTTACCTAGCACCCGTTTCCTAACAACATCAATGCTTACTCGGCTGTCCCATGATATACGAGGAATGCTTCGGAGACACCTATGATCGAAGACAAGCAACCTACGAATATCTTCTACTCTGACTGATAATGTTTCACAGCCATGTAGAAGGACGGAGCGAACTATTGCGCAGTACACTCGTTCTTGTGATAAGTAATCCTTCTCTGAAACTTTTATTTCAGAAAATTAAGACATCAGCTTCATGTCATTAATATAACTACTACCTTGCTTCGCTTCTATGAAAAATTTAACCACTAGTAACATTTGTATGGTAATTGGTAGTTCAGTATATCTTATAATCCGATGTAAAGTACGGTACAGTAATTGAAAAAACTAAAAACAATTAGATACAAGAAAATTAGTTCGAATTGTGTTGGAGTGAAAAAGGCTGTTTTAAAAATATACAGACAAGATTAATATATATGAGTTATATTTCTAGCTCTCTAAACTTACTGTTTCTTAAACTAATTGGATAAATTTAGAAACCCGATACTTCATTGAGTTAGCAACTTGCCTATCCCAGATTTCTAAAAATTGTAGATTATTGGGGGCTGTAGGTTGTTAAAGGTAAGATAACTAATGAGAACCAGTAGGCATTGGATATTGGTTAAGTTGCCTACAAATTAAGCTCTGGCCATGAGGCTTAAAGGTTCTGGGTTCGATCACCAGTGAGGTCAGGAATTTACACCATTAAGGAGTACCATACTATGACCAGATGGTTGTTCAGTGGTTACCATTAGTTAGATGCCTAAGCTTCGTCATGTCAGTCTTAAAGATCTCTTTACGTTTGTCCATACAATTATAGTAAGTTGAAGTAAATAGTCATTAGAGAAACGAGTTTCACGTCTAAATAATCTTGATCCATAAATGCATCATACTTTTATGTCTAAAACCTCGCACTTTATTATTGGCTTTACCTGCTTTCTGGTCAAACCTATTTCTCACAGTTACAGAATCCTGTGGTTATATAAATGTTGAATCTCACTGACCATATTTTATCTTTGTAGTCATAAACTGCTGGCTAATTTATTACGTTCAGACTGCATGATGATGGTAAGTAAATGGTTGACGACTTTGGATGACAGCCCACATGCATTCAGTCTTCTCTCTCCTCAGATCATTAGTTTCAGAGTTATTTGATAGCACTTAAAAGAGCTAAGAATCCGCATGATAAAATAAGTGAGCTTATTTTTTTTACCTGGAGATACTAGTAAGTGTACTATCTGTGTATCACGGCTCGCAGCTGTTCTTTTCCTACTTTATAATGATAAATTACACTTGATTAGCTTAACAATCTATTGTAACGGAGCGAATATCGAAGTCGTTGGACCTGTTAGTTGTTGTTATACGTCTTACTATTTCGTAGTTATCCACTAACTAGTCTGTCACTTTCTCGTATTTATGGCACGATTTTGTGTGGAATATGGTTTCTGAATGTTGATATGTTGTGGTCAAATGATTTACGTATATTGACCCGAGTTCGGGATAGATATGTTCGATGTCCTAAATGTGGTAATACGGTATTAACCGATATGTTTTCTTGTTCGAGCTGAAGACTGGTGGTGAGGAGAGTGTGTACTGGCAGACCAAGATTATATCGGCCTCTCCCCACGGTTAATCCTAACAGTTGAAACGTATCACTATTCAAAGCTTACGACGTTAGGCTGCTGACAAAATAGTACTTGTGAAGTAGAGAAATCATAACGAGGATTTTTATTGATAAATCGCTAAATGTCGATTGGCATTTTCATTCACAACGGACTTATATCAAATACGATGTTTGATAAAGTAATTTGGATTTTGATACGATTTGGGCACAGATTCAAGGCGTTTAACTGGCTGTCATATCAATAAACTACTGCACGAGTAGTTCTTAATCATTCATTAATTCGTTATAACAAGATAGTGTCTACTTTTTTACTGTATATTTTCTTTTCAGTATATTACAAAAACTTCATATACTTTACACTACTTTATCAGTTAATAAATACTAGCAAACTAATTTCACTTTAAATATTTCATAGGTTTTTTGAATTTTTTATTGTTACGCGTCTGTCAGGTGGTTGTTCATTCCATGAACGTATGATAATCAATATTATGCTCTAAAAAAAAATCGTTCATTAGTTTTAAATTCATTTGTATTTTGACTTTTTTTCAACGTATGGCGAATCGACTACCCTAGTTTATACTGTATTATTTGTAGGGAAGTCATCTGACTATTTTTATGTTAAACAGCTGACAGAATGATTTTATTTTTATGTGTCTGTCTACGTGTTTAGTAACTTAGACTGTTTATATGGTGCTTATCGTCTTATGGTTTAGCGTGCAAAATAAATTTTGCATATGAATTACTCGAAAACATAAACACATTCAATACAATTTGGGCAGTTAATAAGTACACTTGAAAGTAGTTACGTTTAGTCAGTTGCTGCCTACCTCAACGCATGACATAGGGCAGGGATGAGAAGTAATTTGGAAGAAATTTAATGACATCTAAATCAAGACATGTCATCAGTCTATTCACTCATTGACTGCCTAGGTCACGTTGGTAAGTGGCATGACATCTGGTTTTAATGCACACTGTAACCACGATCAGTAGTTGGAGACTTCAAGTATCATGACTGGAAATCGGCTACGCTGCCTCAAATACATCTACTTTTTATCTTTCTCCAAACATTAGGTTTCACTGCCTTCTCATACATACTTCATTTTCACTCGTTCTTGTCCGAACCATAATCTTTGTGTTCACTTTTCTTAACCATCATTAATATCAATGTGATTTGGACTCCTATTATATAATATTGACTTTTTGTCTCTTATAGAGATAGAAAATTCATAGACAGCAGTTTTTCGGATTCTACTTGAAGTTAGAAAAAATCCAAGGAGTGCATCTAATTATGTGTCTGATACAACTAGGCCGCTGAAAGCAGCATCACCAACCGACTGTTCTGATTCGCATATTATCGCACTGTAGATATTAAATGCAAAATCTTATATCTGGTGATTAATCATTTTTTTTGTTTTTCGATAGATTTCATACTTTTTAATTCATATGCGAAAGAGATTTACGATTATTATTATTATTACTTTATATATTATAGTACAATACCTATGGTTATATCATTTATTTCAACATTGAATATAAATACTGGTGTAGCACAACTTAGCGCTTGGCTTACTAGTCAAGCTATTCATGTACCAGCAGGTTGGGTTGATGCTTGCGTGGCTTGGCTCGCTGAAGAGCATGGAGGCATTGATGCATGCAGTCATCTTACAAAGTCTGACTGGTGTCAATTAATCTACGAACAGTGGCTTCATTCTGATTTGAAACAGTTAGCGTGTCCAGTTCTACCGTCCACTATATCTACAACAATAAATCAGCAAAACAATTCACAAAACAATAGTTCTGCTACCAACACCAATAGTTCACCTGCACTCAAACTGGATGGGGAACTTTGTCTTCAAGTAAGTCTTGTAGAGACACAATGCACTTTGAGTTCATATGTAATTTTTTAAACGTTCATTGTTTCATATCGATCAATATTGTGGATATATTCAAAGCATCAAGTTATACATGTGTATTACTCGGTAAAATTATCAGTCCGGAATAATCTGTTTTCGGGAGATATATTCATAATGTGTAGTCTTATCGGTTTAATTTGTTGATAATATTAGCAATGGAGATTAAGAATATCGGATTCAGCACTATTCTGATCGAATACCTACTTAATTTATATGATGCATGGTGGCTTAGCGATTAAGCTAGTCTAATCTCAGCCAGCAGGTATTGAGTTTGAAATTCATTTTCAACTACTTTGTTATGGATAGCTGAATAGCTGTAGACTAAAAAGCCTCGAGTACGTGAAATTGTACTTGGTAAATTAGCTGTGCTGATTAATTGACTACATATTTTTACAATATTATGGTTGCTTAATAAGTCCTATTCACCCCAGTTCTTACTAGCCGTCAAAATGTAGTCAACAGACTTTCTGGAATCATGTTATTGCGTGGCAAAATTAAACTTAATGGTCAAACTATAACCCCATTGAAGATTGAGTGGTTTATAGTCCTCATATCCTTCAGCTGTTTAGTTGTTAAGTCACTTCTAATCATGTTTATTCATGTTTCAAATATTTTGACTATAAATGCGTTATTTTATTGAAAAAACAGACCTATCATACTGAACAGCTGTTTTGTCTTCATATGTTAGTTAGATTCGAGTTCCTAACACCAGTTTCCTTGATAAGTCGGAAAAGTAAATCGAATTGCTTTCTTATCTTGAGACGGTGAAATCAAATTAATGCTTTTACTCGGATCCTGTATGCGCGTTTCCTTCACAAAAACCCACTCTTTAACAGTGCGACGTGTAGTAGTCATGTCTACAAATGAACTATATTTCCAAGTTTTTGCGTTGTCTTGAAATATCCCTGAACAAAGTTTATAGAGGCCCAGAAGTACCAGAATGCGTTTCATCATTGAACAGAAGTTTTGCAGACATATCTGGAAAATGCAGAATAACGTACCATTATCCTTATTAGATATTTGATCTTACCACTACTATATTTAGTATGTTTCTCTAACCTTCCAGAAGCCCAAGATCATTAGTAACTCTATAAATGCCTTAACCTTTCTGTACATAAACTAACCTTCGAGTGAAACGTCCCCGGATAGGAGATCAGATCTTGCGTTCATTTATCAAACTTATCAACATCCTACGGTGTTAATTGAACTAAGTCTTTCCTATTGAAATAACAATCTATAAATCAGATAGTTGATAATTCATTGATTTACTCGTTTACTATAGGTTGTCAATTTATTCAACATTGGTGAATCATACTATGGTCAATTGAGACGACACGAAGGTAATTTGAGTGTGAATCTACCGTCATTGGAAGTAGACAATGAAAATAATGCAGATGGGCATACTACACAAATGACACAAACTTTTAGTCAATATCCTAATCACAATGGTAAGAAGATTGTATTCTATATATTCTATATTCTTGAATAAATGTCAAAATCTTTCCCGATAGTTCAAGTATATTTTACAAATGCTGTCTGTCATTGTATGCCGTTCATTTCTTCTGGTTAGCGTTTTTTTTGACAAGTTAGTTTTTTTTGACGGGATGGAGTCGCCAACCCCATGCCCGACCCTCCTCCTTTATACGGTCTTGGGACCGGCAGTAGCCCCGAAGGGTCTACAGGCGGAGTTATTATATGCCTTTTAGATAATGTTTTTTACTTTAATTATGTTACTCATTTGCTCACAGGTAAGTTAATAGAAGCATGTTTAAAAATATGTTACCTGATGATTGTGAATTAAATTCATTGTTTTCGCACTCACACTCAGTAGTAGGTGTATTAGCTGTTTACCAAGAATTAAAACACATACAAAGTGCGAAAACACACTACTCAACTGTTTAAAATAAGTGAAAGAGACTGAAACACTCCGGTAAAGTAACTAATATTCACATATCCAATATATAACTAATCTCGGCTTTTAACACGTACTTTTCATGTTTTCTTTTATTTCTGTTGAAGCAACACAAACAAACAATTTTAGGCAGTCAACATTAGCCAATTGTCTCACTCTACTTCTTACTGATGGTGTAAATGAAATTAAAGTTATTGAATTTGGTACCCAATCTACAAGATCAAGATCTGCTTTACCTTTTAATGAATTATTAAAAAAACTTCGACCTGGAGTCAAAATTCGTTTACGTGGACCATTACTTTTACGTAAAAATGTTTTACTTGTTCCTCCTGGTGCTTTACAGTCACTATCAAGTCATCAGTTGGAAGTTTTAGGTGGTGAGGTAACTATGATCTTTGTGTAATTTTGACTTTTTCTTGGCGATTTTTAAGTGTCACTTCGTTGAAATCCACTTCTATCTGAGATAATTCAGTTTCCACAATGATGATAGGACCTGTGCCTTCGTAGAGATACTTTTTCTTAGTAGTTTAATAATCGTCTTGAAAGTTTTAAACATAGCCAGAACATAAAAATCGTGATAAATACTTGTCAAAGTTCCATCAATATTCGTTACTCCTGACGTTCCATTCTCAACTAAGGTTTCACATAAAAATCAGACTACTAACAGGTGGTCATTACTTCAACAGCAGTTTTTCAACGTTTTACTTCTCTCAAGAGCCACTGTATTTTTTGTTGTTGGAATTTTATTGATTTAAGCACACTTCTCAAGTTCTAAATTCAAAATACTTGTACTGTATCTAAAATGTTGCTTAGTGTTTTAATCAAACAAGCAGGAAAAACACAAGTCATTTTAATAAATTTTTTTCGTTAATTAAAAAAAGTGCAAAGTATACTCAACAATCAGACATTGTGTTCCGAACAACTGAATTATCAATTTTATGTTTTGTGGATATGGCTTTTTTACCCCGTCGCCACTTTTATGTTTTGTACTTGATGTAACGTCAACCACCGTACTAATGACACCCGAACGTTAGACCCCTCCGTTCAAAAATAAGAAGACGGAAGACGTTTTAGAACACTTCTTGTCAGAATCAAAAATATACAATCAAACATGCGTATTTATACAATTATATAAAAGTCGTTAATTATTTGAACATGCTTCAAATAGTTCGTCAGGAACGATAATCATATAGTTCATCATTAATGAAATAGTTTATCATGAACATTAATCATATAATTCATCATTAATGAAATGGTTTATTATGAACAAAAATCAAATAGTTCATTAAATCCACAATATGCGTGGCTTTATTCTCGATTGACTATCCCAACACCTCCCCGGAATAAGATTTTTTTCTTGGGTCCACTTGTAGTCTTACGACTGGTTTGCGGCGGCGTTCCATTCTGGTTATGGGGTTTCGAGTTAATGTCTCCAACCTTCCCCTTTCTTCGGCATTCCGGGGCAAATGTGCAGTTGTCGGTTCTGTGATCAACTCTAGGGGTAGATTCACGCGATTATCACCCGAGCGTGCCATTCTTTGATCCCTTCGCATTTGGTTCGTGTGTCTAACACAGCTTCCGAAAGCTCCTATGATTCGATACAAAACTCTTCCTAGTCTTTGGACGACTGTTCCTGGTTCCCATTGATTTTTACCACGATATGTTTTTAGGAACACTTTATCGCCCACGTTGAAGCTGCGAATATTTTGATTTGGCCTATATCTGTTCGCTCTTTTAGGGGGCAACATCGCGTTAAAAATAGTCCGAATACGTCTTCCAAACATCGCTTCGGCTGGAGACTTCCCCTCTGGGACCATAGGGTTCGGAGTGCTTCTGTAAGCCGTTAAAAACCTCGTGATTACTTGGCTAGTTGGTCCCTCATCTCCCCCTTTTAGTAAAGCTCTTTTGAAAGTGTCCACGAAGCGTTCAGCTTGTCTATTCGATTGGGGGTGGTAAGGTGGGGACCGTAGATGCGTTATGCCGTTTGAACTGCAGAATCGCGTGAATGAGTCGGCAACAAATTGTGATCCATTATCAGTTACCAAGGTTTCTGGCACTCCGAAACAACTAAATAAGGTAGACAGCTTCTGAATAGTTTCTGAGGCTGTACAATTCGGCATGCTGTATATTTCTGGCCATTTTGTATACGCATCTACAATAATTAGGAACATTTTACCTTGGATTGGGCCAGCGAAATCTGCATGAATTCTTTCCCAAGGTCCCGTAGGTTTCTGCCATTGTTGAGGCTGGCATTTCGAAGGGTTTTTCGCGGCGTTTGTACATTCGCCCAACGCTTCTGGACATACGTGATGATGCCTTTCTATAATGGCATTTCCCGGATTTGACTCTAAAGGGTTATTGATTCTAACTCGGCAGCAGATATTGTTGATAGAATGGTCTGTTAATTTTAATGCATCTATGAGATCCAACCCCAATACATCAAGGTCTGGGTTTTTAGTTAGGTATACAGTTGCACTTGTTGTTGTCCCATATTTTGAAACAGTGCACAGTATTTCTCCAACAATATTTAACTTGCCACCAGATGCGGTGTGTGCTAGTTGCTTCGTAGGGTGAACTGTAGGTCTTCCAATTTTCTCCCAAGTTTTTGGACTGATAAGGGTGATGTCAGATGCTGTGTCAAGTTGAAGACGGATACGGTGTGAATTCATATCCAAAGTCACATACTTTCTTCTTTGGTGAATTCTTGTCTGATTATGAGACACCAATACTTTGTTTATTGACTTACCAGAACTGTATTTCTTGGAATCGACTTTCGCGGAGTAATGTCTGCGAGTTTTTGTCCTACATCGAGATTCTTTGTGACCCTTTTTGTGACATTTAGAGCAAACATAATCTTTGTATGGGCAAATCTTCTTGTAGTGCCAACCTCCACATGACCAGCATGGAGATGAGGGCTGGTTGTCTGTGCTCTTGTGATGCTTTTGTGAGACGGAATTTTTCTTTTCACTAATGGAATGCACGTATGATGAGAGGCCATTGTTTTCGACCATGGAGGTATCATGCTTCAAGTTTACTAATCTCTGGCACTCTGCAGTTATTTCTTGAAGCGAGATGTTTGGGCACTGTTCAATTTTACTTAGGATTCTGGTTCTTATATCAGCATCGTCGGGAGATTGTAAGCTGCACACAAACACAAGGCACTTAAACTGATCTTCCGTCATTGATGATAATTTAAATCGTTCACATTCACGATTTACTAAGCCAGCATGCTTTACCCAGTCATCTTCATTTGACTTGATTATTTTGAGGCATTGATAACGAATATTAAAGAGAGATGACTGTTCAGAGAAGATTTGCGACAGCGTATCAATTGTAGCATCAAAAGAGAAATCTCGTGGGTTCTTTGGGAGGATGAAATTACTATAACGTTCGTGTTCGATTGTGCCGAGCTTTCTCAAAAGGATTCTGACTTTGGTGGCGTCATCAAGATTGTTGAGGTCGACCTTGAACAAATCCTCATACTTCTTAAACCAAGACTCGAAAGTCACACCAGCAAGGCCATCAAAATGAAATTCATGAATGGAATTAACTATCGAGTCTGTATGCGGATTATATGAATCATCGGCAAAACCTCTGTGATTCAAATTCATTTGTTTCATTAACAGCCCCAACATACGTTCCTGGAACTGTTCATATCGTTTTGCTTGACGTTCCAGTAGAGATTCTATCTGTTCAAGGGTAATTGACATTGTGAATTGTGAGCCCCGTCGCCACTTTTATGTTTTGTGGATATGGCTTTTTTACCCCGTCGCCACTTTTATGTTTTGTACTTGATGTAACGTCAACCACCGTACTAATGACACCCGAACGTTAGACCCCTCCGTTCAAAAATAAGAAGACGGAAGACGTTTTAGAACACTTCTTGTCAGAATCAAAAATATACAATCAAACATGCGTATTTATACAATTATATAAAAGTCGTTAATTATTTGAACATGCTTCAAATAGTTCGTCAGGAACGATAATCATATAGTTCATCATAAATGAAATAGTTTATCATGAACATGAATCATATAATTCATCATTAATGAAATGGTTTATTATGAACAAAAATCAAATAGTTCATTAAATCCACAATATGCGTGGCTTTATTCTCGATTGACTATCCCAACAATCAATCATATAAAACTTATAAAGTATATGCTTCTATCGGATTTGAAGTGTACCCTCCTTCAATCACTTGGTCATAATCCAAATAAGTCGAGGTAAAAATGTATCTTGGTTCAGTTCGGAGCAACTCATCAACAATATATATGAAAAGGAGTTAAAATAGTGATTATATCAGTGAGACAGTAGGAAAAGCTCAAAATAGACCGTAATTCGGTCAGACGAAATGAAATACAAGAATAAGAATTATGAAATATCATTGAAACTCAAGATTCTTACGAAGGTAAAATAAAATAAAGTGACTTGAGGCGCTGAAACGGATTCCTTTCCATTCTGTGTCATCTCAGTTCTCCTATTCACGTTTGTTTATCACAGAATATGTTATCTTTCGATACGAATAAGATCCTAAAATCAGCAACAGAGACTGAACAGTTACAGTTTTAATATCAGCAATTAAAAATTGTAAACCCTTGTTAATACTTATTCCGAGCACTTTTGGATTTTATCTTCTCAGTTTTGAAACTATTTGAATGGTCCTCCTGGTTTCTCATATTGCGCAGACATGACGTACCTTAGTGTAAATTGTGGCTTTGATTTTTACAAGAGGCATCGGTTTCAAGACTTCCGGAAAAACTCGGTTTTCAGCATGAAGCGTCGTAACTCCTCTAAATGGAAACTCTTCAACTCCCATGGCAGGGTTTAAACAGTTCAAGTTATTTTCCTGGTTAGCAATTTTAAGCAAGGTTCTTTTCTTCAAGTTAATGTTGCTAATCTCATGCTCAAATCTCTTCCTGTAGCTGTAGAAGAGGTCCAGGTCGAGGTGTGCGCACTATTAGTGAGTGAGACAATAGACGGAAATATCTATTCAGCTGATGTCAGTCCTTAATGATACTAATCTTCAGATTAAACGACTCTTCACAATAATCTCACAACCATATTCATGAAACTGTTATACCAGTCAAAATATTGCTTTGTAATCATTAGATTTCCTTCCAATTGAGACATGACATTATGAGATGGTGGGGAAGATTTGTAGCTCAGGTGGATGATTGTGTTGGTGGTGTTTGGTTCCCTGAGTTGGATGTTTTGGTTGTGTTAGTTGTACCATATGTCTTCCACTTTGTTCCGCTATTCGCCATCCCATTGGGCAGTTGATTGGTGGTCTGTATCTGACACTTGTTGGCAGAACATGCTGACGAAGACATTCATGAAGAAGATATAGTTGTTCTCGAGTGGAAGTCTGCCTTTTGGATCCCAGTAGATAGTCGCTTGCACTGTCCGACTGAACGGGACAGTAGGGATTCGGAAAGATAGGGACACTTGCCGTTGCCTCTTCGTCGTATCTGCCTGCGCCCCCACTGACTGCAGCTCAGACGAGGTGAAAGATGAGTTTTACAGAAAGCTTTCGGACCTCCTCCAAAAGGTTAGGCACTCCGATATAGTAATAATGGCTGGTGACTTTAATGTTCATGTAGGTAGACTAAGTGAAAATGAAAGATATGTGGGTGGATCTTATGGTGTCACGGCTCAGAGAACAGACAATGGCAACCGTCTGTTGCAAGTATGCTCAGATAACCGCCTGTTTCTAGCAAACACTAACTTTCAGCTTAAGGAAAAACATCTTTTGACCTGTCGACCCCCAAAGTCGTCCGAACGCTGAACCCAACTATATCACATTACTATCAGCCACCGTTGGAGAGGTTCGATAGAGGACTGTCGCTCGTTCTGGGGTACATGTCTAGATTCAGATCATGCTCTAGTACGAGCGCGTATTTGTTTGCGACTTACCGGACGTCGGAAAGACATCGCAAGGAGACCTCTTGGTGTTCTACCTAATGATAGCAGAGCTATGAATATATTTCGGAAGCAACTAGAAAGATAGTTAGGCGACCATGTTAGTGATCCACATCCGGAGGTAGGCTGGAATGATATCAAAACGGTTGTGGAAACAGCAGTGATATGTGCTAGCAAGGTAAACCATAAGTCAAGGAAGAAGTTGTGTATCTCAGTAGTATCTGCCGAACTGATGGACGCTCGGAAATTCATCCAACCTGGCCCTGAACATGATGAAGAGTGAAGTCAGCTTAGGCGCAGGTTGATAAAAGGCCTAAGCAACAACCGTGAACAGTGGTGGGTGGCGAAAGCATGGGAGATGGAAAAGTCAGCGGTGATAGGCGACAGTAGACAACTTTTCCGACTTATCAAGGAAACTGGTATTAGGAACTCGAATGTGAGTTAGACTATCTCGTAAAAGGATTGTCTTATTATCCATTCTCAAACCAGGAGACCGAATCGATGGGTAGACCTTCTAATTGGAGGATCGCTTGTTGACTTAAAATATGCCGATGACATATTCCTACTTGGTGAAGACGCTGAAAAAAATACAGTCTTTTGACTTCCCTGAGCAACAATGGAAGCATGTTCAGGATGCAGTTCTCACCCTCGGGATACAAAATTTTGCTTAAAGATTGGGTTGTGTCGGCACCTAAACTGGTGATACGGAGTGAAGTAGTCGAACGTGTAGACCGCTTCACTTATCTGGGGAGTCTCATCAGTGCTGATGGCTTGGTGACTGACGAAATCTCAGCACGGGTACAGATCGCTCGATTAGCTTTTGCCAACCTGCGTTATCTATGGCGCAGGCGAGACATCCGTTTGCTGACTAAAGGATGAGTGTACTGCGCAGTAGTTCGCTTTGTTCTTCTATATGGTTACGAAACATGGCCGTTAAGTGTAGAAGATATTCGTGGGTTATTAGTATTCGATCATAGATGTATTCGAAGTATTTGTCGTGTATCCTTGGACAGCCGAGTAATCAGTGCTATTCTTATGAAACGAGAACTAGGTAAAGATGTCAGATCAATAGATGAAGTATTGAGACTTCATCAGTTGAGGTGGTTGGTACATGTATTACGAATGCCCAAACACCGACTGCCTCGACGAGCTATGTTTTGTGTTGTTAGAATAGGTTGGGAGAAAGTTAGGGGCGGCCAAACTAAAACATGGCAAAAATCGATGAAGTTACTGACTAGTGGACTGAGTCATGTTGGTAGATGTAGGCTACCTGTTTGGGATCGGCGAGGCGGAAGTCACCAATGGTTAGAGACCTTGAACGACATGGCTTGAAATCGTTTGCAATGGCTCAGGTGCATCCACTCTTTATATTCCCTCAAATCCTAATCTTCTGGATTCGTCAACACCTCTACGTTAGTCTTTCGAAACCTATCTCACTGAATTATACTTCTACTATCTCTACCACTATGGGATTTGCATTGACCGTTGCGTTTCTGTGCTGATGTGGTGTGGCAACCTGAACTGATGTACTTTCGTACGAAGTTCTATGTTACAACATAGAGGTTTGTGCTGATGATGTTGTTCAGATGGACAATGAAATCTTTATGATTTTAATTAATTGTGTAGCTGTTTGGAATTAATGTTGAAGAGAAAGACATTTCAATTACATTACTTTTCTACATATTTATCGTCTCTAGTTTTTAAATGACTTCTGTTTATTCACATATACATTCAAAGGTGGTTTTTCAATAATTTTCAACTATTCTATCATATTAAGCATCTCATTTGCAATGAATATGATGTGAATTGAATTGAATCGTAGTGTTTATTTCTTTTATTTTTCATCATTCACAGGTTGATGAACTGTTGGAAAATTATGAAGAAAATACATTTCATGAACTTGGTAAATTATTAGCTAACAAATTAAATATACCATTAACTGAAAACAATAGTTTACCATCATGGTTTCCTCGTGTATCATCTAGACAAACACTCAGTGTACCTAGTGATGATCAGTTTCCAAACATAAATGATCCCAGTGAACAGTCTAATTATGTAGTAAATGTCCAATTAAATGGTAATAATAATGGTAGCAGTGAGAATGTTCATTCTTTGAACAGAGATTCACGACGTTCTATTTGTAGTTCATCGGCTACTGTTTCCAATGGTAGTAGTGGTGGTGTCGGTGTCAGCAGTAACATTTCTCCAGAATTATGGGATGATGAAGTGTTGGATGATGCAATATTGAGTCACGCTGCTCAGTCCATGGAAAAACAATTGGACAGTAATAATAATGGTAATGTTTGTTTTTTCAAACTCAAAATTTTTAATAATACTCACCTTTTGAATACGATTGAATTTGAAGTTTTTTTTTTCATTATATGATGATTTTATTTAGACAGCCATTAGGAACCAGTAATCACTGGATAGGTGTGTACTTCTAGTATAGAACTTCTTAGCACATCAGGTATCGAAACGTTGTCAGTCAGTCAGCTAAAACGTTGAACTTCGTACGTACGTATATCAGTTCAAGTTGCCATACCACATTAACACACATAGGTCGAACTGTCAATTCAAATGCCATAGTAGTAGAGATACTAAAAGTATTAGCGGTAATCAAAAAGATTAGGAATCGAAGATATCATTTGAGAAGTACATCCCAATGGAATGAATTTAAAAAGCGATAAAAAACTGTCGTGAGGAACTCAGAACATTAGAATTTAAGAGAAAACAAAGAATGGATGGATTTGCACCGTCGCAAACGATTTTGAGCCATATCATTCAAGGTCTGTAACCATCAGTAACTATTGTCTCGCTTACCCCGACGAGGTGGTCTTCACCTAATTACATAACTCACTCCAGTTATCAGTGACTGCATGGACTTGCGCGGTTTTGGTTTGGCTGCCCCAAGCTTTCTTCCACCCTACCCGTACACCAGACATCATCGCTCGCCGTAGCACTCGGTGGTTGGGCATTCGTAACATATGTCCTAACCACCTCAACTGATGAAATTTCACTACTTCATCCATTGATCTGCCATCCTTACCTAGTACGCCTTTCCTAAGCCCTTCATTGCTTAATCGGTTCTCCCAGAATATACGAGCAATGCTTCGGAAACACCCATGATCGAAAATCAGTAACCTACCAATATCCTCACTTCCTACTGGTCTTGTTTCACACCCGTAGAGTAGGTCAGAGCGATTAAAACCTTCTAGAAAGCACTTAGCCTTCAAATCCAATGGGGTTACGAATCGGCACTTCTGAAGAGTCCCATATTAAATCAAACCAGATGTCCACTTGGTACTAGTTTTCAGTGGCTTTCTAAGGAATTTCCAATAGAAAGCAAACGTTATCGATAATTTAATATGAACCAACTTGAATTAAAGCATACTTGTACATTGTTCATCATCATCAGAAGGCTCCATTGGCTTTTGCCAATCTGCATCACTTGTGGCGTAGGTGATATATCCGTTTGCTGACTAAAGGACGAATGTACTGTGCAGTAGTTCGCTTCGTCCTTCTACATGGCTGTGAAACATGGTCTGTCAGGGTAGAAAATATTCTTAGGTTACTGGTTTTTCGGTCATAGGTGTCTTCGAAGCATTCCTCGTATATCATGGGACAGCCGAGTAAGCATTGATGTTGTTAGGAAATGGGTACTAAGTAAGGGTGGCAGATCAATAGATAAAGTAGTGAAACTCCATTAGTTGAGGTGGTTGGTAAATGTGTTGCGTATGCCCGACCACCGACTGCCGCGACGAGCTATGTTTTGCAGTGTAGGAGTAAATTGGAAGAAAGTTAGGGGCGGCCAAACCAAAACATGGCAGGAATGCGTGAAGAGTCACTGACAAGTGGACTGAGTCATGTTGGCAGATGTAGGCTACCTGGTTGGTGTCCACGAAACAAAAGTCACCGATGGTTAGAGACCTTGAACGACATGGCTCAAAACCATTTGCAATTATTCTCTGTGTTCTCTCAAATCCTAAACTTTTTAATACTTCATCACTTTTTCTTTATCTTTTTAAGCCTGTTTCACTAGATTCTAATTCTTGAGTAATATTTTATACTCCTAACCTCTCCGACTACTGCTAATACCTTTACCATCTCTACTTCTATTGGATTTGAATTAACAATTACATCTCTGTGCTGATATGGTATGTCAACATGAACTGATGTTCGTACGTACAAAGTTCTACGTTACTGTTTATTAATTGAATAATTGATATAAGATAAAACGCTTAGTAGTACATTGTATACTATGAGAAAACTGAGCATTAAAAATTAGGTATGAGACAAATTGATGAATTAGTTATTTAATGAGTTTGAAGGATCTAGACAAAGATCATGGTTAGATACATCTGAGTGCATGTGAAGAATTTCCAACTATACGAGTGATTCACCTCCGGGTATAGCTTACATCAGTAGTCGATAGTTTCACGAACTGACTTAATATCTTGGTTTGATTACCCCAGTAGTTTTACAACATGCTTTTTGTTCCAGCTATCATTGTAGTTTAATGTGGGCAGTGGTGTGACATGCGTTACGCATATCACTATAATAGATTTTTTTTGATAATTATTTCTAGATGTCTCGAGTTCACGACGTCCTATCCATTCGTTTAATGATCCACTTCGTTTACCAGTAAGTGTTATATCTGACAAACAAGATCAACTATCAAGTGAATCAGAATTTGGTTGTCTGCAACCTATTCATGATGTTGTCAATGAAAGTGATAATGATTTCCCTGCTACTATAGATGATCCATTTCTAGAGGATCAAGTCGATCCAGATCTGTTGGCATCTGCTTTAGCTGAAATAGACGAACGACAACCGGTGAATCTTACAAATTTCCCTAAAACTAACCAGTCAAAAGTGAATGAAATGAGAACTTTTCAATCCACTACAAGCGAATCAGAAATAGCTACAACTTCAACATCTTTATTTCAATTATCATCGACTATGATGACAAATAGTAGTTGTACATTATTAAATCAACCGAGAAAATCACAAACAGAACCTAAACAAAGTTTAAAACAAACTTTATTAAAGTTACAGTCACGCAATCGATCAGCGAATAGTGTCAATAATAATCCTCCATCCGCTTCTTCTTCTTCTTCGCCCTTTAAACCTCATTCAACAGAATCAATAAAATCAAATGTTACCAAGGTACAAACGGATAATGACAATAGTGAAATTCTTCTACCACCAGCGTCTAAACGTAAAACATTAGAATTCAAACAAACAAACAATACTATTGAAACAAATAGTAAATTTAAAAACATACTACAAAATGCATCTTCTTCATTGAATCATCAAATTATCACAAAAACTAAAACAGATAATCATGATAAACATATGGCAGTCAATGGTAGACAACTATCCTCCAATTCATTGAAAACTGATTTTCAATATGAACCATTTTGTTACATTCAAGTAAGTTGTGATTTATTTTTCCTCCTTTTCATATTACCTGTCTTTTCTTTAAGGATAAATAAAATAAAACTAATTCGATTTGTGTTGGAAACAAGGGAGCATTAAATCACTGTTTCGTTATAATAAGGAATCTCTGCGTTAAGATTAATGATTTCAACTTATTTGCGTAGTGCTCGATTGTATACTCAACTCTGAGTAATATTGTTTGTGATGGAAGCTCCGATAGTATTAACAAGTGTTTTAAAAATCTCCTATAATTGATGTACCCTAATGTATCTTACAGTGTTTAGAATGAATTTAGTTTAGTAATCTATTTCGGATCCCGTTTATAAATAAAAGTTTAAGAAAACTTATTTCTATCTCATTAAAATGTTGCAAATATTCATTATGTCACTTTTAAACACCTATCTGGTAGATTATTTACTTTTCATGAAATATTCTTTAAGAATCGTTCGGCAACCTCTTCTAATCCATCACTGCTAAACACTATTTGTTTAAGAGGCTTGTGGTAATTATTGAATTTCATGAACCAACTTATTTAAACAATCATTAAAAACCAGAGAGACATGTACATTTGTTTCTTTCTGTTATGGAACTGCCCGACCACTCCAGTGGTTGGAACCGCGGCCTATAGGTTCCTTGGGGAAGCATTTGGCCTTTACACCATTGAGTCAGTGTGCAATGACCCATATTTCCAACTCCAACCAATCTGCAATATTGTGCAATCATCTTCCGTGACTGGCTCATATGCAACATAGTTGAACTGTACTAGCTTACATCTCACTAGATTTCTGAGAATGATTTCTCGATATTGGTCATTAGTTTGCATAGAATTATCGTTATCATCGGTGTAAGTGGTTTTGTTGGTTGAATACGTTGGTTTCCTTCACCTATGACAATTTTTAAATACTAGGAATCATTGAATAGTTTTTTGGTTATTCTAAATCCTGTCTATAGTTTGATCAAAACTATGAAATTTACTCTTGTTATGCTATATGTTAACAATCACTTGAGACATTACTATCTTATCAAAAATAAATAAACATCTATGTGTAGTCGAAACATTTGTTTTGATCAAATCACGTACGTGAGCTTCAATCTAAAAACAATCTCTAATGTATAACTATGTGCTTGTGTTGGAAATAGTATGTAATAATTATTACGTTGTAAGGGTGATTTAACCCAAGCCTACATTAATTGATCAGTGAACATTTTAGAATAAGAATAAACTTGAACAAATATTATTGAACTGATTATTTGGTCTGGTGTTTGGACAAAAAATGAATGATAAAAATTAATTGAGTTGAAGTTCCTATGCAGTGTTTTCTGTGGCATAAAGCTTGTAGATATATTTTAGAAGTGGTAATTATGTGTAGTTTGCAAGTATTCAATCTGTGAGATCTTAATTTTATTTGCACATAATAATGGTATTCATGAGCGATAAACGTAAACATCATGTGTTTTTTCAGGCGTCAGTGGAGTATATTGCTTGAGATGATGGTACAAACTATGACTTGTGACTTACGTTTCCTTTTTACTAGTATATGTCACCTTTATTTGTTTGATTGGAGGTTTACTAATTAATTGAGCTGCTATCCTGTTCTTTAAGCAACTTTGTTTATCACTAACTCCGTGAACACTGTTTTTCGTGGCTGTGGTAGTTCGCCCAATTTTCAAATCCGTTTACTTTTGTATGTTCATCGTCCGTATTGATTTTCTCTACTGTTACTCGATTGTTGTTGACTGTTTTGTTCTTGCTTTTCTGTCCTTGAATCTTGCCCATGTTGTCTGCAGAGATTCATTCTTTTTGCATGTACTTCTTACTGCCCAACACCTGACTTACTAAAATGATTACTTCTTTAATCCCTTTTTTAGTTGTTCGCTATAGTGGTTTTCTTCCCGATTTGATTTTGTTAAACTTAGAGTCAGTCAGTCAGTCAGTTGCAACGTAGAACTACGTACGTATGTACATAAGTTCATGTTGCCATACCACATTAGCACAAAGATGCAGATGTCAAATAAAATCCCATAGTGATAAAGATAGTAGGGGTATTAATGGTAATGAAGAAGAATAGGGTTCGAAGATATTATTCAAGAAGTATAATTAAGTGAAATAAGGTTAGAATGACAAAGGTAGAGGTGCTGACGAATCCAGAAGATTAGGATTTGAGAGAGCTCAAAGAGTGGATGCACCTGCGCCATTGCAAACGATTTTGAGCCATGTCGTTCAAGGTCTCTAACCATTGATGACTTTCGTCTCGCGGACCCCAACCAGGTAGCCTACATCTACCAACATGACTCAGTCCACTTGTTAGTGTCTTCATGGATTTCTGCCATGTTTTAGTTTGGCCGCCCCTAACTTTCTCCCAACCTATTCTAACACCACAAAACATAGCTCGTCGAGGCAGTCGGTGGTTAGGCATACGTAACACAAGTCCCAACCACCTCAACTGATGAAGATTCACCACTTCATCTATTGATCTGCCATCGTTACCTAGTACTCGTTTCCTAACGACAGCATTGCTTACTCGGTTGTCCCAGGATATACGAGCAATGTTTCTTAAACATCTATGATCGAATACTAGTAACCTACGAACATCTTCTACTCTTAACGGCCATGTTTCACAGCCATATAGGAGAACGGAGCGAACTGCTGCGCAGTACACCCGTCCTTTGGTTAGCGAACGGATATCACGCCTACGCCATAAGTGACGCAGGTTGGCAAAAGCCAATCGAGCCTTCTGTATACGCGCTGAGATTTCGTCAGTCACCAGGCTATCAGCGCTGATGAGACTTCCCAGGTATGTGAACTGATCAGCACGCTCGACTACTTCACTCCTTATCACTAGTTCAGGTGCCGATGCAACCCAATCTTGAAGCGACATTTTGCATTTCGAGGGTGAGAACCGCATCCCGAACATGCTCGCATTGTTGCTTATGGTAGTCAGAAGACTCTGCATTTTGTCAGCGTCTTCACCGAATAGAACTATGTCATCGGCATATTCTAGATCAGTAAGCGACTTTCCTGGTAGAAGGTCAACCCCTGAAAAATCTGACGAGCTTAATGTTAACTGTAAGAGGATGTCTACGACAAAGTTAAACTTAGAACACTGGGTTTGTTAGCATATCAAAGGAAGGTTGTTACAAACGCATTAAGTGTTACTTACTTCAACGCTTCTTTAGTTTCAATGTAAACTTGGCCACCACCATGTGGTGATCAAAATCCATATTAACTCTCTTTGTTCTCACATTTTCCATGGAACTTATGAGGTTTTTGTCGATACAGATACGATCGATTTTGTTCTCTATGATGTGATCTGGTATGGGTTTGTAGGGACAACATTTCTATCTATAACCATATTGTTAACAGTACATAGATTTACCGGTTTTTCTTCATTCTACTAGTTTCCTCCTCCCAGGTTCATGTCTCCTCATAATGTGTTCATACCCAGCACTATCCATCCCGACTTTGGTGTTTCCGTCTCCAATCAAGACAGTCAAGTCTTTTCTTGGACATTATTCTACCATTGACTGAAGCCTTTATTGACACTGGTCTTCATGGTCTTCTCTACTATCATTGATAGTTGCGTTGCACTGGATAAGCTTCAATTCTTTGTTTCTAAGGATGCTGTGATAATTCTGAAACCATGAGATTCCCATCCTATACGGATAGTATCACTCTAGATTCCATACAGATAAAGTGTAATCTAAAGCTGAGTACACAAACTCTAAACTCGATAATTTAATGATTAAGAATTATTTTATTTTATTGTTAATATTAGCAGTGAGCGAAGAACCATACCATAACATTGAAACTTTTGATAAATTTAGATTGTAAATCCATATCAACTAAACAAAAATTGACTGAACGATGTTTTGTGGTGTTTTTCACTCATTTCAAGTTGAAATCTACTACTGATTAATTAGTCTCGTTAGTTTATAGTCAAGTTTTGAGAGATATGACGTATTATTCTCTCAGCTATTTCTAATCACTGACCAGCTTTATGACGTGATTAGTGTAATGTCTGTATGTCACGTAAGTCTAACCCAGTCATCTATATGTTTCTACCATATGATCAGGGCATCGTTACAGTTGATTATTACACTTTTGAATCCAGTGATTTGTGGCATGTAACCTGTGATGTGCTACAACAATACCACTGGCTCATAATACAGTTTGTTCATTGTCTGTACATATTAAAATATTAGATATTTTATCTCAGAAATTGGAAATCGGAATGAATTAGATTGCTCTCTCGTCTCTATTTAGGACTCCTCAGTTATTTTCACCGGTGAAATATAGTAGAATTGGAACGGTTCATATTTTTAACTCTGGTTAATTCATAATGTTACTCCCAAAGATCATCATTATATACGCAATACGTGAAAGTCTCTGATTACATGTGTTACGTATCTTTAGGTGGTTATTGCCTTTAAAGTCCCATGTTATGGACGAAAATTGTATCTGGTTCTCCCTAGATATCAATGTTTGTTCGAGTGAAGTCGGCAAGTGATGTTAACCTGTTTGAAATTGAAAAATCTCAACTGATTCTGTTAAGCTTATTAGCAACCGTTCATTTAACTAATTTATTTATGTATTGCTTTATACTACTTGCTAACATTCAGTAACCTGTTCCATCAGTTATAATTTCTGAACTTATGGTGTGGCGTACTTTTTTATTTGTTATTCCAATTTGATTCTCACAACCCTTTTAACAGTTATCCGAAGTATTTTTTTGCATTCGTGTAATATTTGTTTAAACTCAGCGGCTTTCATATCTGCATGCTTATCGTCTCCATTTCAATTGTTAAAGGTCATTATTGACTTAAAATGCAGCTACCGACTGTTATTTACAGTATTGAAGGGTTTTTCTCTCCATACTGATGCGTTATTCGCAGCAGATATTGCATGCGTTGAGTTCCTTAGATAGATCGTGGTTCTGAATCTCGATTTCGCGCGATTACACATCATAATAGAATCTAAATTAAGTATACTATTTATCTATCCAAACATTGATCCATGAAGTTTATTAGCTATCAAAAATTCAACGTCCATTCTTAAATAGTGGTTGCAATTCCACCAAGTGATATTTGAAAAATTGTTAGGAAATGTGAAGAAGAAGGTATGATTGTGGACTAGTTGTGTTATCATGCTGGTGAAATAACGTTAGGACAGTGGATTCTCAGTTAGTACATTGCCGGCATATATGCATATTTGCAATAAATTTTGAAATGTTTGAAATTAGGTAATGTTATTCATTTAACGCATAATAAATTACCATCACATTATATGTTTCATTATAGGAGCGCTTATCTCAGAAATCGTATTATTACAACAAACCAGTTGCTCAATGCTTTCCCATTTTCATTTAACTTCCATTCGCATTTAAAAAGATATACTGACTTTACATAATTTTTCATGATTCGAGGGTTCAATTGTGTGAATTAATAACTTTTTTGTTTTACATAAAAACCTATTTTCTTTCGTATTTTCATTAATACTGACGAATTGTTGTTGTTGTTGTTAATCTTCTAAGGATATCTACCACAAACTACTTAAAACAAAAGAAAGTAGTAATAATCCAACTTCCATAAATTCTGTCTTTACAATACGTGGTTTACTTATTAGTCTGTTGTCATCATTGGAACATCATCAAGGCACTAAATGGACACTAGCTGTACGAATTACAGATGGTAGTGCAATTCTTGATTTAGATGTCGCTTCAGATTTATTAACTGAATGGATTGGTTTAACTCCCAGTGAAAGTGAATCATTAAGACGATTGAGTAAAATTGATTCGAATTCTTCTAATCCACTGGCAGTTCAAGAGGTGAGTGTTGTTCTCTTTTTGTTCACATTGCTAAAACTCAACATTACTAGCTTGATGTTGTTACTGAATGCCCAGAATCATGCGGAAGCAACGATAAACGAACATAGAGAGTTTAGGTTTCAAAAGTATAGAACAAAACAGTAATGATATCGCCAAAGCTTCCACAAACTGATAAAGCACTTTGTATTCACATACATAGATTTCTTTCATCTGTCACTCGTATAACTATCCAAGTACACAACAATTTCGGCTACTTCCAACGGATCACTGTCATTATTGGAGGTGTCCGAGATCTGAACATGATACTTACTAACCCCCAGAACTGACAACTTGAGTAAGAAGGCAAGAGTAGTAGAGAAAGGCTATTTGGCTACCAAATAATCTACATAAATACTCGTATATATATATATATATATAACTACAAAATTATTTTTGAAAAATGATTAATTCCTTTTTTTTATTGGTTGAAAGTGAAGTCCCTTAATCAATTTAGCTATACTACACTACTTTGCATGTTTCACATCCCTTTTTGTTGTTGTTGATGGAATATGCATTTTTTTAAAGCTCTCAATTAAGAAATCATGTAAAAATAGATTGTTGCGTATGCATTACATGTAATCATACACGAGAAAATGCAAATGACTTCCCACATTTTCTTATGTACTCCATTATCGTTTGAAAGTGTTACATTTTTTTCTTGTTTATTACTTCAAGTAGGATAGGATGATTGTTTAGATAGATTTTTTGAGATCTTGGATTACTGATTCTATACTGTTAAGAGTTATAATTATAGGTTGTAATAGATGGCATTTTATCCATGTTGAGAGAAGTAAGCCGGTCAAACACCATTGAATGAATTTATATATATATATATACGAACTAGTTTAAATCGGAATCATTGACTATTGAATTCCAAATGAATTTTCATCGGTTACCCTACGTTCGATTCCTTCTAGGGAGGCATGCGATTCAGGAGATAATGCACGTCGCAAAGAAAAACTAGTCAAAATTCACTTCTAAATTATCAATAAAGATATCATTTAAAACCTTGATGTTAATCATTACACTAGTGTAAGAATTAATTCTCACTTTGAAATTCAAAGATATAGATATCTATATTGTTGTACATTTTTGAAATCGTGAATCGATCAATGTTAGACCACCATTAGAAACCTGGAAGCACTGGACGGCCGTTTCGTTCTGATATGGGAATCCTCAGCAGTGCGCATCCATAGCTCCTTCACCCCGCAGGATTCGAACCCAGGACCTTCGGTATTGTGCGCGAACGCCTAACCATCGGACCACTGAGCCAGTATCTAACGGTGTTAATGTCTAACTTGATCAATTCACGGAGTTGCGCAACCTCACACACAGTCTTCGGTAGTTACTGTCTACACCCGAACAGGTTGAACTTCACTGGTCACGTCTTCCCATTAGAACTCGGAGAAGATTCCTCACGAAGCTAGTGACTAGTGAGCACAGGTAATTTGCATTACGGGGTTGTGAAGATTGTTAAGTTACACATTTTCGAAACCCCGTAATGCATATATATATATTGCTCACAATGTTACAATTATTTTGAAAATATTGTGAATTATAGTCTGTCGTCATTAATATTAGTTATTAGTAGTAATATGAAATGAGTTATTTCTTGACTTTTATCATTTCTCTAATTCATCTCAAATAAACAGAATAAGGAAGAAAATGAAAAGAATAACATGTTTTGTTCTTCTACACTCATCATTGCCATTATTTTGTTTTTTGCTATCAAAACATGAAACCATTATGAAAAGGCAACTATGAAATTCACTAAACATTATTATTATTATTTTTAATTTATCATTAATTACTTGACCGATTGTTGAAAGTAGAAAGAAAATGTCAAGTTTACTTTACAGTAGAAGAAGAATTTGGCTATTGTTTCTCATTATTATAATACTGATGATAGTTGACATCCATCTGGATAATGTTGTAGAGTTTTCGCTTGTTTGTTTGTTTGTTTAAAAGGTTAATTCATTTGCCTGTTTCTGTTCGTTTTCATTGTCTTTTTTTTTCTCATCGACTGTATTGTTGTTCATTGTGACAGTTATTCTCTTATCTATTTTCTCTCTCTCTCTCTCTCATCATTATTATTATCGAACAATCATGTAGGAAAGAAAGATTAGTTTGCATAAATTTGTTTACTACTATTCATACTACTACTACTACTGATCTGTTTGAATAATCTCACCATTATTATTTAATATTATTGTTGTTTTTCTTCTTCTACTACTACTACAAGGCACAAAAACATCGTCAACATTTACGCACAGCATTAGCAAATTTTCAAGTGTTCCTGTCACATTTAGGCGGTTTATTTCGCATCACAATTCAAACATGCAATGATAATGTTACGAAATGTGAAAACAGTACAGGTAATCACATTCCTGCTACTACTACTGTTGACCAGTCATCGTCATCATCATCGTCATCAATACGTCCTATTTTAATAGGTTATAAAGAAATGGATCATTGTTGGTTGGAAGAATTACACAATAGAATTAATGTTCGTTATATAAAAAAGAATTTATTGTAATTAAAATAGATGAACAAGAAAAAAAAAACATGGCGGTATTTTTCTTTTCAATTTTGTAAATAAACAAATTTTGATTTATATTTGAGTATTTGTTTTATGGCTGTTACAGTTTATTGTATTCTGGATAAAATAAATTAATGCTCAAAAAGTCTTTTTTTTCTAATTGGTTGGAATCATACAAAATCAACTAGGTGTTTTTTTTGTTACAACAACCCACACTAAACTGTCATAATTAGTGAGGATTGACAAGTGTTCTACTTGTTCTACACTTGTTACTAACTTCCTGGTTACCCTCAAACTATAGCGAAGAAGCGCATAGTATGCGTAAAAGCTGTTCATCGAAATCAATCCTATATCCAGAGTAGCAACTTGCTCCACTCCACTTTGACTTCAACAATCTCCATCAACATGTCCATTCGATAGGATTTTGTTTGATTTTGTTCTCATTTTGTCATTTTACAGTTTACTCGTGTTTTTTCTCTCAGTTCTCGTTGTCTATGTTTATTGAGTTTCTTAATTTTAAAAAAAATAACTTCATTCTGATTGGCATGTGTTCTGATGATTAACTTTTTGTCGGAAATTTCATCGTACTGAATAATCAAACAATAGCATGAGTTTTAAGTAGTATATTTCTATCAAATATTATCCTATGATTGATACTATGAATAATGATTACATTGAAATAATTGACGATTAATAATCTTTATGCCAATGACAAGTGGGATTGTCTTTTTTTTCTCACTGCATTAATTAAGATACACTTATTTTACAGTCATATGATTTCGATTTCAACTGTTAACACTCGTCTTCATTGAATAATAATATTAATAATTCTTATCAATACATTGCAAAATCAGAGTTTTCAATTATTTCGAGTCTTCTTAATAGTATACAGTAAAACAATATGCTATCAGATGTAAAAGAGATTTTTTATTCATTGAACAATTTATATAGTTGATAAGTGAATGTTCACTGTTACCTAACACTTATTCAACAATAAGTCAGTCATTTTTTGGTGGGTGTGTGTGTGCGTAATAAATTACACATTTTTCTCCCGTTATCATGTGTTCCAGTATCAGTGAATTATTAAAGCTCTTATAACATAGCACAAATATTATTGATAGGTTTATGGAACTCAAAACAACTCTCAACGAACACCAAAGTCAGCAGTTTTCAATAAAAAAAATATCAAGACAGTTCTACTGTATGGAGCGGAAACTTGGAGAACTACAAAAGTCATCATCCTGAAGATTGAAGTATTGATTAACAGTTGTGTACAAAAAATACTTTGGATCGGTTGTCCAGACAATATCAGCAACAACCTACTGTGGAAGAGAACAAACCAGATTCCAGTGGAGGAGGAAATCAGGAAGAAGCAGTGGAAGTGGATAGGACACACATCGAGGGAAGTACCCGACTGCGTCACAAGACAAGCCCTCACCTGGAATGCTCAAGGCCAAGGGACACATTACGCCGAAGAATGAATAGAGACGTGAGAATAATGGGCGATTGGATAGAACTAGAAAGGAAGACCCAGGACAGAGAAGGTTGGAGAATACTGGTCGGCGCTCTACGCTCTATTGGGGATAGCAAACGCAAGTTAGTAAGTTATGGAGACGCGTATGACATCGAAGATACTTTTCGTAGACATAGTTTGTATGTGAAAATCTAGAAAATAGAAAATGGAGAGCATGAAGTTTTGATAAACTTACTGGATGTACTTTGAATAATACGAGCAGTCAGATTAGTTTTTATGATATATCTCTAACTGTTATGAAAACTTCATTTGAATTGAATCAAGCTTTACAAAAAGATAAATTTCAATTTTATTTATTCTTAAAATTAAAGATTTTTCTCCTTTTGTCAGAAGTTTTAGGATAGTATTTAATTTGTAGCCTACGGGTTTAATATGAATTCATAAATGCACTGAAACAAAATAACTAACCGGAAAATGGGTAGAACACACACTGTTTATCACATAATATGAACCGTAAAGTCGTAATTATTGGAGAAAATTTTCTCTTTCCATATCTTATATCAATTATTTTATTGTTTACTGTTTATTTATCTTCTATCTCATCATTGTCTCTTGAGTTTTTTGTGTATAGTTTACATGTTTTCATGTATTTTTTTCCCAGTAATTCTTGTTTGACTATCTGTTTTTACACATGTTTCCTATTCACTAACAATACAACAATAGAATTACAGTTTACCATAGTTTATTGTATTCATATTCAGTTACATGGTCAATGTTGTTTTCGTGATCTATTGTTACATTGTTCAATGTAAACAGGGTCAATACGCCCATAAAATTGTGTTTATTTTTCTATCAGACAAATATATTGATAAGTGTATTCTACAAAGTTTTTATATTATTCGAGTTAATTTAGTTGAAGTGTGAATTTAACTGAATCTAATTTTTATCAATGAATTAAAACTGTTAATTATTGAACAATACCTGACTGTTATCATCTGAAATCCAGTTATTAATGCACAACTATAAGGAAAAAAAGTACTGTTCACTTTGTTCTATTGGTTCTGCAAGTGATGAAATACATTTAACGAAAGTTAATTTTCGGTGTTTTTTGAGTATGCTAACTAACATGTATGGCAGCAGCCATTGAGAATTAGACACTTAATGAACTGTCATGTGTTAATCTTGTTATCGATGGAATAGGGGTTTAATAATTTATATATATAACGTCATTGTTCATTATTTGATTTCAAGATGAATCATAAATGCGTACAGCTTGGAATAACAAATTGGTTAGATACTATCAAGTATCGTTTAAGCGTAAGAGATTTGAAAGTAGTTTAGCGAAAAAAAAATATTCCTTCAGTTTATCAATTCCTAAAGCTTTAGAGTCCTGGCATTGATTGATGAGTTGTGAGCCTGTTGTATATAGAAGTTTTTAATTTTAATTCAATTACTTGGTTTAGTGTTGTAGGTAGTTTTGAATATGAAATTACTGAATTCGACTAAATATCTCAAACATTCCGCTGTTTGATTAATATTCTTTTTGTTAATCGCTAGACAAAGTAGTATTTTAAGAGAGCACTATCTGTTTGAACAAATAAAGTTAAATTCATTTCTAAATCACCTGTTAAAAGAGGCAATTTAAAGCTCAACAGAAGATTTACGCTGTAGTACTATAGTCTTTCAATGTAAATTTCTATGACGGTTTATTGGTTTCTTGTTCCAAGATTCGGCCAATGGATGATACTAAATAACCCAAGTTCATCGCCATAAGTGATTAGTTACCTGCTTTGCATCCGTTTTGGTTGGACTTCAATGCTCTCAACTAAAGTTTGTAATGTAGTCCGTTGTTTCAAAACTCAGCAATCTGTGGTCTCTTCTTACAAGGCATAAAGATCCTAAATTCAATCTCTGGGATTATCCTGAATGCTCAGTTGTGTATGAATTTCAATAGTAGGATGTAGCGTTGTCCAATGTTCAATGACTTTCAGTGATTCTCTATCTATAGTTTTTGTTTATATCATTAACCTGTAACACTATTCTTATTAGCATTGTTAGTAATCTGATTTTATTGTTCATTTTTGAAAATTAACTAAAAATTTGTTTTGTTTCCTGTGTTTATTGTTACATGTAAAGTTGACATATCACTGTTGTGACTTTGTTATTGTGTCACAATGTGTTTGTTACTACCTCTTACAATTCATTCTACTGTTTAAATAAACATTTCTTAAATAATTGTTTTATTCTATTATTATCATTATTATTTTTGGTTATCATAAACTGTAACGCTAATGCTAATATAGTGATAAAATCTTTCATTAAATAACACAGGAAATAGAAAAGGTTGTTTAGTTGCATGCAACATTACATATATATATATATATATATATATATATATATATATATATATATATATATATATATATATATATTGTAAAAACGTGTCAATAACCAAATTGTTAGATAACAAGTAATAAACGCTTCTCATTTATGCCCTAAAATACATTAAAAATAGAAATTATTTTCATAAAGAATTTTGATTGTTACATTGAAAGGAGTGTTTATGTAAACTTTGTGTTTTTTTGTAATGATGCATTTTATTTTTCTTATTATTATCAAAAGTGTAAAGAAATTAGAAAACAGTAGATGAACAATTCGACAAGAATAAACACTGAACTATGAAAAAGGTATTCTGCATTGATTGATGTAAATGAATTGTATATTATTCAAAAAGGAATTTAGGCTTGGTGGGTGATGCAGTTCACATTTCTTATTATTTTTTCTCAGTTGATCAATTACGATTGAGTTTCTGCATTACTTGTGGCTTGTAATTTATGACACTAATTGTGAAAGGATTTACCTCATGGATATCTGTGGTACAACCTTCTAGCTGCATTATCTTTTTGTGATGATTTGCAGTTATCTCTAGATGAGAGATTTGAAATGAAAAATCATATTAATAACTGTTCCGATGAATGTAACGCAATATGTTTCTTCAACTAAATTTGTACTATACTTCAAAATAACTCTTCACTCTTAAATGATTCGACCATAAAATAAAGTTGTAAAATTTACTGCAACTATGAATGCTGCAGTCGCAGTAAATTCTGAGCCACAGGAAGTACTGTCACAAGAAATGGATCTGTGTTGGCACTCTTGAAAAGATTGAAGAAAGGAGGAACAAGAAGGCTTCAGTCAACATTAGCCAACCAAGATCAGAGGGAGTCAAGGTACAAGCTGAATGCACAGAAGCAAACATGCAAGTGAAGAGGAGCATCAAAGCTGACAAAGTAAATATGTGGAAGATCTAACAATGACGAAGGAAAAGGCTGCAAGTGAAGGAAACTTGTGACAATTGTACGATACAACAAAGAAGCTCGCTGGAAACTATAGTAAACTAGAACGACCAGTGAAGAGCAAGGAAGGCAAAGTACTCAGCAACACTGAAGAGCAGCAAAGCAGGTGGGTAGAGCACTTTAAGGAACTCTTGAATCGACCAGCTCCAATGAACCCACCCGATATCGAGGCAACGTCTACGGACCTCCCAATCGATGTTGGCCGACCAACAATTGAAGAGATCACCATCACACAAATCAAGAGCGACGTAGCAGCAGGACCAGACAACATTCCAGCAGAAGCAATGAAAGCA